CCGGGGTTCTGGCTTGGGGCGCGCGCCGGAGTGGGGGAAACGTCTGGGGAGGGGGATCGGGCTGCGCGTTAATGGGGGACGTGGAAGCAGAGTCTGGGGGCGGGAACGAGACTGGGAGTCGTGGAGGGGCTGCGGGGTTCGCGGTCGGATTGGGGCGAAAAAGGAGGAAGTTGATGGGGACCAGGGTGGCCCCGATGGGGCTGGGGAGGGAGTTTAGGGGTGGGGAGGGCTTGTGGCTTTGAGCAGCTTCTCGAGGAGGACGTGGCTTGAGGGGGGAGTTGGGGGGTCGCAGGAAATGGGACTGGGTGGGGGAGGCATGGAGGCGGAGTGGAGAGGCCCGGGCTGGGGAAGAGGTGCTAGGCGGCTGGTGAGGGGGACAGCCGGGGTGCGGGTGGGGGGGAAGGAGTACAGAAACAGCCTGCGGGCGCCGCCGCGGTTCAAGGACTAGAAGCAGGGTGTACGAGGCTGAGAGCAGCGCCTAGCACCCCGGGGTGGGCAAATGCGGGAGGTCTGAGCCAACTGGGGTGACTGCCTGTTTCTGGGGAAGGGGCAATTGGGGGGGTGGGAGAGAAGAAAAGAGTATAGAAGCCCTGGCAGGAGCTAAGGGGAGGGCCCGGAGAGGAAGGAGAAAGAAGGAAAGGGCCAGGGTGCCCCCAGAGAGTTTGAGGTGCAGCCGCGGAGGATCAGACCCCTACTTTTTTAATACATCCCCAATCCCTGGGTGACTGGGCCCATCTCCCAGTTGTGAAAACTTGTGCCACAATGCCACTCTTCTCCTAAGACATGTCTGCTGGAGTCTGGGGTCCCAGCGTGGCTGTGGGGTGAGGAAGGAGCTCTGGGGTCCCAGCCTGGCTGCAGCGGGGAAGGAGCTGCCAGGCCCCGCAGTAGGGCCGGAACTGGGTTTCAGGATGGGGGGAGCAATTGTGAGTTTACCTCCGTGGGGTTGCATCCTTGGACTTAAATGGGTAAAACGACAGACAGGAAATCTGTCCCCAGCGTGGGGGCTGATCTCTCAGAGAGGCTCAGCGGCCAACCCTGCCTTCCCAGGCGCCCATACACAAGGGGTCTACTGAGGCAAGGCCTCTCCAACTCTCTTTGTCACCAGGAAAGGCAGCTGAGGTGGGAGCAGGTAGAGGCACTGTACTTTCGAGTGGGAGGGTCCCAGCTCCCACCTTCCACACGTTGTCTTAAGGAGCCCAGGGGGAGCGGGAAGTAGCCTGGACAACTCTATAAAGTTGTTTCAGCATCTGATTAACCTTGTGGGTTTGAAGACATCCTCAGATTTTCCTTGCTGGGGCCTGGCTCATCTCTGGCCTTGTAGGCTCAATGGTTTCAATCAGCATTAATTTTCCTCCTTCCCTGTCTGTGGATACCTTGAGTGGCACAAACGGTTAAGTGTTTGGCAGCAAGCTGTAAGGTTGGCGGTTAGAACCCACCCAGGAAGACAAGCCTAGCGATCTGCTCCTGAAAGGGCACAGCCTTGCATACCCTATGAAGCAGCTCTACTCTGCGCACATGGGGTCCCCATGAGTCGGAATAGACTCGAAGGCAACTAACAATAACCAGCAGAACTGAAGAGCCTGGTTTTGTAGCCCATTTAGGACATGAATCTGGATCATTTGACTGTAAAGAGGGCCCCTGGGAGATAATCACCTCCTTTCTTTCCAGAATCTTCTAGCTCACACAGAAGGTAGCTTCCTGCCTTGCTGGCCCTGGGGTGCACGATTGGAGCCCCCAATCTTGCCTTCTGCAGACATTGAGTGTGGGCCAGAACGCAGTGACAAACATGGCAGGCAAGGTCCCTGCCCTCAACCAAGCTCATCTTCCCATTCCGCAGACTCCCTCCCTGCCCCATTGCCTTCTCCCTGTATTAGGAGTGCGGCCAGGTGGAGGATCCTGGGGAAACCACCACGTTGGGGGTCTTGTTGTTGTTGTTGTGTGCTGTCAAGTCGATTCTGACTCAAAGTGACCCTGTACGATGGTAAAGTAGAACTACTCCGTAGGGTTTCTCAGGCTGTAATCTTTACAGAGACCAGTCCCTGGAGAAGGATATCATGCTTGGTAAAGTAGAGGGTCAGTGAAAAAGAGGAAGACCCTCAACGAGATGGACGGACACAGTGGCTGCAACAATAGGTTCAAGCCTAACCCACGATTGTGAGGATGGCGCAGGACTGGACGGTGTTTCGTTTTGTTGTACATGGGGTCACTATGAGTTGGAACCCACTCAGCGACACCTAACAAGAACAACAACAGTCTTTACAGGAGCAGATCACAGGGTCTTTTCGAACCCACTGGGTGGGTTCAAACCACTGACCTTTCAGTTAGTAGCTAAATGCTTAACCATTGTGCATCAGGGCTCCTTTTGGGGGTCCGGGCCTTGGAGAGTTCTGTTTGGCTGTTTCTTCACCTGTAAAATTGGTGGATTGGCCTTGATCGGTGTTTCTCCCCTTTGAAACTCAACCCTTCTTGGTAGCCATAGTGTCTCTCGTCCACTCCCTCTCAGATTTTATGTTGCCCCTGACACACAAATCGCCGAATCACCGTTAAATTATCCTGATTTTGTTCAGCTTCCCGTTCGATAGCTGATATTACAAAAAAAATTTTTTTATTGCTTCTTCGTTTCCCAAATAGAAAATCGCAGTGTTGAGTGTACTTTCACAAATCGTGCTTGTTCCCAAGCTTGCCACATCCTTCTGGCTGGAAATCCCTGGGCCAGACCCTCCCAGAGTTCCTTTCCAGCCTCAACTTTCTATGATATGGTGAAGCAGGTTGGGACTAGGGAATCTCCCCTTTCTCTTTGACTGTAGGATGTGGTTTTCTCCCCAGCAGGTTTGTTAACCTGCAGCTTCCCTTTCCTCATCTCACCAAAGGGCTGTGGTATGCCTTGGATGGGCCCAGAGTTCAGTGAAGCAAGGGCTGGTTGTGCCAGGCCTTGGGCTGAGTCCCCAGAATGCAGATGAGTCCTCTTGAGGAGGGACATTCTGGTGGAGACCCCCTTGGAAATAATCACGTTCACAGTGATCGCTCAAGACGATGTGAGGGCAGTCAGGATACCCAGTGCAAGCTTTGGGGCAAGGGGGATTCCGGCAAGTTTCCTCGGAAGGGGTGGCTGGCCCCAAGCCCAGCCCTGAAGGATAACCTGTTGCCATCAAGTCCATTCTGACTCTTGGTGACCCTGTGTGTTACAGAGTAGAACTGAGCTCCATAGGGTTTTCTTGGCTATAATCTTGATGGAGGTAGATCACCAGGACTGTCTTCTGAGGTCCCTCTGGGTGAATTTGAATCTCCAATCTTTAGGTTAGTAGTTGAGACAAACCATTTGCACCACAAAGGGACCTTAAACTTGTTTCTATCGAGTTAATTCCAACCCATGGCCACCTCGTATTATGGAGTAGAACTGAGCTCCATGGGGTTTTCTTGACTGTAATCTTTACAGAAGCAGATCACCAGGCCATTCTTCCATGGTGCTGCTGGGTGGGTTCGAACCGCCAACATTTTGGTTCGTAGTCGAGTACAAACCATTTGCACCACCTTGAAGGATAAAGAGATATTAAACAATGAGAGAAGATAACCTAGCTCTCAAAGCCACATTTATCCAGGGGGCTCTCTAGGGTAAAAACAAAAAACCAAAACCATTGCCATCAAGTCGATTCCGACTCATAGCAAGCCTATAGGACAGAGTAAAACTGTCCCATAGAGTTTCCAAGGAGCGACTGGTGGATTCGAACTGCCAACCTTTCAGTTAGCAGCCAGGCTCTTAACCGCTGTGCCACCAGGGCTCCCTCTCAAGGGTAGCTTCAGTCAATTCTTAATCTGTAGGGAGTGCATCTTGATAAAAAGGAACCATTAGAGGAAGGAAATTGCAGGAGCAAATACCTTCAAAGCACTGCCTTTTATTGAGCAGCTTCTGTGATAGATCCTATTAAACACTCAGCTCTTTTATCCTGCCAACCACCTAGTAAGGGGGTATGTGTTCCTATTTTACTGATATAGAAACTGAGGCCCAGGGAGGTGATGGCTTCAGAGATGGCTACCTGGGCTTTTTAGAAACATGAAGGATTGTTAACCAGCTGTCATCGAGTTGATTCCAGGTCATGACAACCCAATGTGTGTCCGAGTAGAACTGCTCTATAGGGTTTTCAATGGCTGTTGCCTTTTGGAAGTAGATCGCTGACCTTTCTTCTGAGGTGCCTCTGGGTAGGTTCAAACCACCAACCTTTAAGGTTAACAGCCAAGTGCTTAACCATTTGCACAACTCAGGGACTCCTGAAGTATTATTGTTATTGTGGTTAGCTACCGTCAAGTCAGCTCCAACTCAAGCAAGCTTACGTATAATAGAATGAAACACTGCCCAGTCCTGGGCCATCCCCACAATCTTTGGTATATATGAACCCATTGTTGCAGCTAAGTCAGTTCATCTCATGGAGGGTTTCCCTCATTTTTGCTGACTCTCCACTTTACCAAACATGATGTCTTTTTCTAGTGGTTGGTCTCTCCTGATGACGTGTCCAAGTAAGCAAGACATAGTCTTGCCGTTCTTGCTTCTAAGGAGCATTCTGACTGTACTTCCTCCTTAAATTGGTGAAGACTAAATCTCTAGAGCGGGGTGTATCAACCAAGGTACCATTGACATTTA